TTTGGCAGTTTCTACAGCACTCAATACTCTATATTCAGCTCCATCAACATAATGTCACCAATTTACAGTTTATAATTGCATTGTGTGTACTAGCTTTGTACTAGGCTTTTGTTTGTTTATTTATTTGTGATTCCTGTAAAACAAACAAACACAAAACCCCAAGTAACGTAATAGGACGTAATAACACAATTGCAACCAATAACTTAATTTAAGTTAATTTAATGTTTGCAACTTTAATTATAATGGAAATAAAGTATTTTCAATATATTTGTACACTGTACATTATTATTTACATAATAATAATAATGCCAGAATGGTTAAAGCAACATTTTGGTCAAGTAACCCAACAAATTAGTTATTTTATAACCCAATTTATTGGGTAAAACTTACTACCCAATGCACTGGGTTAAAATAACCCAACAACAGGTCAGTGCTATATCGACCCACCACTGGGTTATCTGTTGGGTAATTTTTAAGCAGTTGAGTTATAACTCAGAATTGACCTATCGGTAAGCCCCCCCCCCCTTAGTTACTGTTGCTCACTCAGACAAACAAACAGAGTTGCTCACTGTCTTACAATGACAGCAGTCAGTGAAAACCTTCTTCCGAGGTGTTTCTGATAAATTTGGGACACAGATGGACCTTCAAGTGGGACTTAAATATGCCATGGAGGGATATATAAAAGATATTAAAATAAATATGTAAAAATACAAATCACAATGCAAACGGGAGAATTATGTTACAGTCGTCACGATCGCAATGACAACATCCCGGATCAACACCGTTCATATATTCCTGCGGCGTAAGATTAAATTAATTTACATTTAACCAGATTAATATGGAGAGGCACTCTAATATAGACCTTCATTTATGTGTGTTTGACTTTCACTACACGGTACATGACGTGAGAACAGTTCGCTATTTAGCTTTGTACGTTAGCATGGACTCGTTAACTTTAACGCTAACGTTAGCTAGTTTTAGCCAGAGATACCTTGCTGAAGCACAAGATGACATTAACGTTCTGCTTGAGCAGATGAAAAGTGTAACTTAATGAGAGTATGACAACCGGAAAATAAACGTTTTCGTCTTCATTGTGATTGGGGTTGAATGCTTACGGATATTCTGCTCTGTTTTGGTTGGATTTAGGAAATGGAATACAATAAATTACATTGCCTATCCTCTCAGGATAACTGGAATTAGTGTTACAAGTACCCCAGGCACATCGTTTTTCCATTTTTGTAGCATAAACACCATTAAACCGATGCGAGCTTCGGCTCTTCCAATGTTACTCTATGGCGCTGAAACCTACAGATGTCCGAGTTCCGCTCCTCGTGCAACTGATACTCGACTGCCATTGGCTCATCTGCGTTCGAGGGGAGGGGCTTACCGATGGTGTGTGGGGAGAGACTCTGAGCTGGCGGCCATCTTGGGAAGAGACTCTGGTGCAGGGTCCACAGAACAAGAAGGTGCAGAAAACACAGGAGTGGCGACCATAATCACGGGACCTCCCGCTACCGCCGGAGCTTGCCCATGTTGGGTTAGGGTTAACCCTAAGATTAACCACGTGCAGGCTTTATTTAAAAACGTAGCCAGACAGGCAGGCTCAATCACCAGCAAAACACCAATATACAGGGCGAGACTAAAGAGTAATCCAAATAACAGGCGATGGTCAGGGCAGGCAGCAAACGATCATAAAAAAACAGGTAAACAGTTCAAGGTCAAAAACACGAAGCCAAAGCAAAACAAGAAAACATAGGAAAACAACGGAACGGATGGCTAGGAATAAAGATGCAAACATACTAACAATACTCAGCAATGCGTGGGTGAGAATGTCCAACTTAAATAGTCCTCCTGATAGGAAACAGGTGGAGTCTGAAGATTAGTTCCTAGGCAGGGGTTATGGGAAATGGAGTCTGGAATGAGTGGCAAAGGTATGGGATGAAGAGCCCTTTTTAGGGCAGCTCATGGGCACTCCAGCTAGAGATCGTGACAGCAGGATATAAACGTGCAATTTTAAAGAGAAAGAAAACTGAATTGTTAGATTAAAAACTCACAATTACCTTCCATACTTGCGCTTTAGAGAAAGAGAGATATAGAAAAACCCTTCACATGTACTACAAAAGACCAGTGCCAGTTACTGTATTTGTCTGATTAACAATGTTTCAGGAATGTAGAAATGTTTCACATGACATGACATAACTGAATATCTATTAGCTCCTTTTTCATTTCATATAGTTGTTCAAGTCTCTCCTTGAGCTCCTGGACATGCTGTTCTTTTCTCTTTCTGAAATCATTCAGTTCTTCTCGTTGTTTTCTGGCTTCATCTTGATGTTTCTTCTTCATCTTCTCTATTTGTTCTTCATGTTTCCGTTTCATTTCATCACACTCTTTTTCTTCTCTGTCTATTCTTTCTCTCTCTTCTCTTTCTCTTCTCTTGATCTCCTCCTCTTGCTCTCGTTTCAGATCTTTTATCATTTTCTCACATCTCTTTCTCTTCTTCACTCGTCTCTCGTCATCCTCTTGTTTTCTTCTCCACTCCTCTTTTCTCTCTCGCTCCAGCTGCTCACAACGTCTCTTCACTTCCTTTATCTTTTCTTCATATTCTCTCTCTTTTTCCTCTCTCTCTCTCTTTTCTGTTTCTCTCTCCTCCTCTATCATCTGTTCTTCTTCTCTCGCTCTTTCAGAAATCTTTCTCTCGTTCTTCAGTTCTTCTTGTTTTTCTCTCAGCTGTTCATTGTGTCTCTCTCTTTCCTCTTCCTCTCGTTCTCTCATCTGTCGTTTCTTCTCTTCCTCCCATTCTCTCTGCTGTCGTTTAATTTCCTCTTGAGTCTCTGTCATTTTCAGCCTCTCTTTTTCTCTTCCATTCTTCTCTCTCGTTCTCTTCTTGTTCCTTCATCATTTGATTCTCTGAATCTCTCTTTTTTATTTCCTCTTCTTGTTTTGTTCTTAACTCTGTCATGATGTGTTCATGATCATTTCTCATCTTTTCTTGATCTTGTTTATATTCTTCTTCTCTCTTTCAATCTTCTTCTTCTCTTTCTTCTTGCTCTTCTTCATACTGTATTCTCTGATCTTCAAGCTCTCTCTTCATCTCCTCTATTCTTTGATCATATTCAGCTCTTTTCTGTTCCTCTTCTTCTGATCGTTTCTGATCCTCCGTCTTTCGTTTCTTCTGCTCTGATCTTTCTTTCTTCTCAAACTCTTTCCTGAGTCTTTCCTCTTGTTCTCTGAACTTGTTCTTCAGTCTCTCTCGTTCCTTTTCTGCCCTTTGTTTTCTCTTCTTCAGTTTCTTTCTCATGCTTTTGATTTCCATGTCATATTTAGCTTTTAATTCTTCAATTTGAGCCATTTTCATTCTCTGCTCAGTGGAGATCGCTGTCTCCTCAAACATCTCATTAGTGAAGTATCGGCCCTGATTCATCTCTTCTGTCATATTTAACAGATGAGTAACTTGTGTCTGATCTTGTGTCTCTCTGTTGTTAAAAGCCAGGAATCTGTTTCCACAGGCTTTCTTATTAATTATTATAATGGAAAAAAACTGAAGGATTTATCTTAAATGTATTACTTGTTTAAACTTTAGAAGTTTTTGTGTCTGTATGCTAGAAGCTAAGTTAAAGAAAGCTGACAGATGCAGCATTTAGAGAAACATCAAGAATTAGTCCTACAATAAACATTGCAGAAATATTTTAAAATTCCTTTCAATTATTATTTAATCAAGACCTTAAAACTAACTTTGTAGTCATAGGTGTGAAAAAACCACCTCTGCACCATGATAGTGTCACGCCCATGGACTGTCTGCGTGTGTGTGTTTTCTCCCTCATGTGCCCATGTTTGGTCGTTCCTGTCCTCGTTATCCCATTATTAATTGATTCCCCTCACCTGTCTATCCCTTGTTTAGTTTAGTATTTTAAGTGTAGTCTGCCCCATGTTTTTTTGTCAGGTCTTAAACGTTGTTGAGTTGTGCTACGTGTGTGTTCCTGCCTAACCTGTGTCACCCCTTCTGAGGATTATTAAAGACTGTTATTTGCGTTTACTCTGCGTCTCCTCGTTCCTCCCAGTAGGCAATCGTGACAGAAGACCCGACCAAATACAGTAACTTTATTTGCGTTTTCCCCTTCGTTTGTTTTCCGTGTTTTGTACAGTGTTTTTTGTTTCCGTTGTGCTTCCCATGGATCCCCTCGCCTCTAAGTTTACCTCCCTTGCCCGTAAAGACCTTCCCTTCTTTGAGTATGCTGTGGAGTTCAGCCAGCTTGCCGTTTTAACGGCGTTTGACGACGCTCCGCTGAACTCCCTGTTCTGGATCGGGGCCAACTACTACCGCCCCGTCGACCTCCAAGACACCACCGGACTGTGCTGGAGGGAGGCAATCAATCGGTGTCTGGAGTGCGTCTACCCCCGATCCAGAACACAGTCAGACCCAGAGCCCAGCCCACCATCACCCTGCTGCGTGGAGCAAGAGCCTGAGCCCACCACTGACGGAGAGCCAGAGCCCATCGCGACCGACGAGCCATCGCCTAGGAGTGCGACAGAGCTGAGGATCGCCACGGAGCCAGAGCCTCACGGATCGTCAGACCCGGTGCGAGAGCCGGCTATAACGCCCGCCATGAGGGAGAAAGCCGCGGACAGAGAGAGTGCGGAGAGGAGCTCTGCCCCCTACTCCGTGGCTGAGGGTGAGCGGAGAATGTATCTGAGTGAATGGAAAGCGGAAGGAGACCTTATTGACTTGTATACCGACCTGCCCCCTCTCCTCCTTCCTCCGTGACCTCTGTCCCTCCCGTTCCTGAGTTTAGCCCTGTTCCCCTGTCCAGCCCTGAGAGGACTTCTTTTCCCGAATCCAGCCTGGAGAGGGCTTCTGTTCCCAAGGGCAGCCCTGAGAGCCCGGAGGCTCACAAATGCCAGCCCACCCTCCCGCTCCTGCCTCCTCCACCGCTGTCATCTGGCAGCCCCTCTGCTCGCCCTCAGCCCACCATTGGTACGGTGCGAGCTCTGCGGGTCTGCCATCCTCCATCGTCACCATGGCTGGGGAATCCCTGGCCTCATCCTCCAGCCTCTAAGCTCCAGCCTCCGCCTCGGCCTGTCGACCCAGTGGCTCCACCATGGCTCTTAGCTCCCTCCTCTCCGCCATGGCCCATCAGTCCACTGGCTCCACCGGGCTCCCTCGTCCCACCGGCTCTGTCAGGCTCCTCCATCCCTTCGGCTCCACCGCTGCCTTCTGGATCCCCGCCTCTGTATCGGTCGCCTGAGCCATCTGCTCCGCCTCGGCCTTCCGGATCCTCCCTGTCGCCCTGGCTCATCGGCTCTCCGCCTCGGGCTCCTCCCTCCGCCGGCTCCACCGTGGGTCATCATCATGGCTGTGGCCTAGGTCCCGCTTGTTTCCTCTTTGGCTCCTCCATCCATCGTCACCTCCCTGGACTCTGTCTGCCGGCCCCTTCCCGGGTATCCGTCCTCTTCCTGAGCCTCCTCCCAAGTTCTCACCCGTCCTTCTCCATGTTATATCTACGTCGCGAGGACGCGCCTTCCGGGAGGGTGGCGATATGTCACGCACATGGACTGTCTGTGTGTGTGTGTTTTCTCCCTCATGTGCCCATATTTGGTCGTTCCTGTTCCTGTCCTCGTTATCCCATTATTAGTTGATTCCCCTCACCTGTCTATCCCTCGTTTAGTTTAGTATTTTAAGTGTAGTCTGCCCCATGTTTCTTTGTCAGGTCTTAAACGTTGTTGAGTTGTGCTACGTGTGTGTTCCTGCCTGCCCTGTGTCACCCCTTCTGAGGATTATTAAAGACTGTTATTTGTGTTTACTCCGCGTCTCCTCGTTCCTCCCAGTAGGCAATCATGACAGATAGTAAGGAAAAAGTTGCACTTTTAAATAATTTTGTATTGTATTGCTTTTTTATAGATTTTGTATTGTTGTTTTTACGAACACTCCACCCCCTTTTGTATTGTACTGTAAATAACCTGTAAGCTTATTAATGTGTATTCTCACAAAGATTCTTTATTCATAAAAATTAATGCACTCACCCAGTGTCTTGATATTCTCCTGTAGCTCTCTGATTTCATTGTCTCTCAGTTTCTCCTCTAGTTCATTTCTGACTCTCTTTTCTGAAGCTCTCCTATACGTATGAAGAGAATAGGGTTCAGTCTTCGTGCTCTCTATACGATCTAACAGATCTGAGATCTGTTCTGAGCTTCTCTGGTCCTTTAACCCCATCACACTGTACCAGCTCCCATAGAGACTCACAATCCTCTGAGATTCTGTGGATTCTACTAAATCTGACACACTTTGGTCAACAGTGAGTTCAGTGATGAAAAGCAACATGAAGTGCTCTTGTGAGTAAAATATTCCTCTAATCTTCTCCATTTCTGCTCTGTCTTCATTAGTAAGTGGAGTGACAGGAGTAACAAGGATGAAAACATGAACTCCAGGATCACAGAGAGACAAACAGAGGTGAGTCTCCCGCATCACTTCCTCCTCTGAGAGCTGAGAGAGAGCTGGAAGCTCTATTACACAGATCTGCCGTCCATCCATCTTCTCCTCTTCCTTCTGACACACTTTACTCATCTCTTTACGTCCCGGTTTACTTGTTATCCCTCTAAACATTCTAGACACTGAGTTCTTGAGTGTTGGATTATTTCCACACAGCACAATGTTCAGCTTTGCTTTCCCAGTAGTCATCACTGAAAACATTAATTAGAAACAGATGATTTAGCTCAGATTTGCTACCAAATGTATACTTCATTAAACAACAACAAAACTATTATATTGTAAAATATAATTACACTGCAGTGCATTCTTTTATCAACTGAAAGTTTGGGTGAATCCACTCTCTATGCAACACTCTATTAAAAAATATCTACATTTTTGTTTTCAACCAAAACAAAACAGATCAGTGAAAAGAAATACTGGTTCAATTAACACAGTAGGGCTCCTTATTTTTCTCCCTGTCATTTTTTGTCTCTAAGACAATGTAACTATAAAAGGACAACACAATAGTTCATGATCATATTCTTAGAAGTATTATCCTGAGAAAGAACAAACCTCCTCCATCACTTGCTGTTTTTGTGTCCTTCTTTTTCTCGTCTCCTCTGACTGAAGCTCCAGATCTGCTCAGATCTTCCTCCACTGATGTTCCACCTTCATCCTCACACGTGTCACAGATGAGAAATTCTATACATTCTTTCTTGAGTATCTCTTCTGTCATTCTGAACAACTCAAAGCGCCATCCTGTGCTTACTGTATTAAACTTCAGATGTCCTCCTCCACACTCCTTTATTAAATCATGAATAGTGTTATTCCTAGAAGCGAATATTGATCCGCGTGGCTCATCATCAGTAGTCAGCACTATAGTGTGTTTCATGGCCTGGTAACTGAAGAGGTTCAGCACATATTTCACTCTGTGTTTGTCGTTCTCACTGAAGTTCTTATTCTGCAGTACGAGTACAAACACATGAGGTCCTGGAGCAGACAGAGACACACACTCTCTCACTCCATCTATTATCACTCCCTGTGGGAAATTTGGCTGGAGCAGGTGAGGATTGAAGACTGTGATCTTTCTCCCCTCCACCTCTCCACTGATTCTGTCACTGGATTGCCATAAATAAGATGGAGCTTCACTGTCAAACGCTGCTCTACCCAGTATACTGTTTGCCACCCGTCTGTTTTCTGATCCATTCTTTCCTATCAGCACAATCCTCAGATCACTCACTGAAAAAGAGCACAAAATGCAATAAAAAAACAGTGCACAATCATCACTTAAGAATTTCATATCAAATATTCTACAGATTTAACACCAGCAGTTATGTTAAAATATCAAGTAACCCTTTCACAAGCTTCAGAAACATCTAACAAAGATATACATTCGTTTAATCCTAAAGAGTTATCATCAATAATTACACTGACTTACCATTGGGAAGATCATGTTTGGACTTTTATGCATTTTATTCACTAATAATAAAAGAACGGCAGCTGCATAGATCCCCGTGAGCAGCAGGGAGTCACTAACACTGGTTCAGTACAGTAACTAGTACCGTTGGCTATCTGTGGGCATCTATTATTTCTCTGTATATATTAGTCTCTGTATAAATACTAGTCCTCAGTTAACAGACTGATCTCCCAGGAAATCACCAACAATCCTCAGATGTTTTCTTGTGCTTGAATGACACAAAACACAGAAACAGCTTCAACTGCAGCATGCAGAGATCATGTTTTGCTCTACTGTATCAAAAGCACTGTCTGACGTCACTGATGTGACGTATGAATAAGTGCAGAAGAGATCTCGGCTATGACAGACTGCATGGGTTCAGGAGACCTGCGGTTCAGACCCAGATCTGTATGGACAAGTTTCATTTTTGGAGAATCAGTGTCTACCTTCATTTTATGAAAATGAGCATCTTTCATTAAAAACAAATAAACACAGTGCACTCTAAAAATTGAGGCTATAGTAGTTTACTTGTCACGAACGAGACTCCCGCTGTGCCTCCTGCTCACCACCAGAGGGAACTCTCTCCCGAGTTTTGAACTTCAATCCGGTCTACACACATACACTTACACACACACACATACCTGGCTCTGATTGCCCTGCACCTGATTCCCATTAGGTGACTATTTAAACAGCTCTCAGACTCTCCCTCATTGCGAAGTCTTGTATTGCCCCGGTGTACATTTCTGAGCGTTTCTTTCCGTGTCTGGCCTCTCTGTGTATTACCTGAACTGCTTCTCTCCTTCTGATTGCCTGCCGCCTGCCCCGAACTCTTGCTATTGTTTCATTGACTACTGATTGTTTGCTGCCTGCCCCGACCCTTTGCACGTCCCTGGATAACGATTTGACTTCTCTCCTCTGTTGTGTTTGCTGGTGTTTGACTTTGCCTGTTGATTACGATTTCTAATAAACTGCAGATGGATCCTCACTCTGTTGACGCCTCGTTACAGAAGACTTCGCCATTATATGATCCAGCAGCTTTGGCTCAACTTACCACGGAAGTATCAGCTCAGGCGAATCAACTCGCTGCTCATCAACACCAGCTGGCTCGACTGAC